AACTCCTGAGCTCAAACAATCCGCCCGCCTCGGCCTCCCAGAGTGCTAGGATTACAGGCGTGAGCCACCCCCGCCCGGCCTAAGGGGGGATGCTCTGGTGTGCTTTATGCTCCAGAGCTCTCCTACCGTGCATCCGGCCAAGGCAAGATCAGGCTGAGCCTTGCTCAGTTCTTTCCCTTTCCCTGTCTTGCTCATCTTCCTCCCTTACAGAATCTTCCTCCCTCAGTAAGTCCTGTTCATGGGCTCTCTCTTACAGACTATTTCTAAGGACCCTGACCCAGGACTCCTATGAAATTGAATCACCAGAAAACAACTGGATCCAGATTCTCAAACGAAGTCATCACCCATTGTGATATTTGTTTCTCAGCTCTGATTGTTTTTGTGGTGGCTTAATTCTCCTGTGGGCCTCCTTGTTAACTCCAGGTGTATAGCCAGATAACTCAGCAGCCCTCGTGCAAAGAGAACTTCTCCATCACAGTAGTTCTAACAAGGACCCAGGACTCATTCTGATAGGCCTGTCTTGGGCCACATGACTTATCCTAAATCAATCACTACAAATGGTGGGGATGGGGGAGTGCTTTCATTGGTCAGGACTGGGCCATCTGTTTACCCCTAGAAAGTGAAGTCATTCCCATGGCTGCCATATGGACAGAGAGTGGGGAGGAGGGGTTCCCCACAGGAAACTGGGGTTCCCTTACCAGAAGAAAATGTATGCTGGAAGGACAAAAATAACACATGTTACACACCCCCAAACTGAAGGATGTCCACATGAAGTCATTAGGATAATGAGGAGTATGGAAACCTTCATCTGAGGCATGATGGCAAGAAAAAAGGACTTTATCCTTGTTTTGGGGGGATGGGTAGTGGGTACGGGAAAGGGGGTGAAGTGGAATTACACATATTCTGTGAAGCTTTAGAGGATAACATTAGGATCTAGGGTCAGAGATTAGAAGGAGGCAGATCATCCACAAAAAATTATATAAACACTTTATATACAATATATGTGTGTATATATACAGTACATAAAATATATACAATTGAAGTTGTCCCAAAAAAGAATAGGCCTATTTGTGAGGGGGTGAGCTTGCCTGTAATCTCTGCTGCGAATGGGTGCCTCTCTCTTTCCACGATTAATAAAACATTTGCGCTGCCTCCTTACCTTGGCTTTTTCT